TGGAAGATGGGCTCAATCGGTCAATTAGTTTCGGAGATATTCAACTTTGTATATAAACTTAATGTCTTGAATGTCTCAATAACGAGTCAACCGATCTCAATAATTTTTGTTTCAAAATATTCGGCTTGATGTTCTCTATTTCAATCAATCAAAATATATATACCCGTTTATACAAAGTTTTGGAGATTCATTTCAATTAATCAACTCCGTATAAACGATTTTACGAAAAAGGTAACTGCTATGGATCCATTCGAAAGCTTACTACCAATGGAATTGGTAGAAATAAAAAATTAAAATACAAATAACACATAAAGCAACAGTCACATGCCTTCTGCAATATAGGAGCGGTCAACTGCTTGTTTTTTTCAAATTTGGGTTTAGGGAGAGTATAAATCTACTATATAAATTAAAATTGATCGTCCTCCATCAATAATTAAACATAAAAAAATAATTTTCTATTCGAAAAAATAACCTTGTATTAACCGGATCAGGCCCTGAGAGACGTACATCAGGTCCGGAGACAGTGAACGTGATCGTGCCCTGTTCTATCAATGCGTCTCATGGCTGATACGAACCGAGCATGACGAGGCTTTGATAGCCAGATATGGCCCGGACTTCTCGGATCAGGCAACCTTATCCGGACCTGATGAAACCCGTTCACGATTTTCTAGCCGGATAGTTCATCATGTGATGTTGAAAATTATGATATAGAGCAATATATGTCTTATATCATATATATGTATATAGGCGAATCCGATAATTCTGTATATGAAAAATTGCCTAAATTTTTCAATTTTTTTAAATCGAACAGTATAGTCCAAAAGAAGAAAAATGAACGCAACCGGAGCTCTCTAACTTAATTAGTAGTGGACATATTCAAGATTGTTTTTTTTCCCTCAAAACTCGTTTTTTCAATTGTAATTACGAGCCACTAAGAAGGACAAAAGAAAAATTTGAACCCACAGATTTTGTTGTAAATTTTTTCAGCTTTTCGGGGAAAAAAATGTTTTGTTGTGTATCTATGTATATTAGCATGAGGAAACTCAGTAAAGTTCTAATGGTCATTTGGGGTCGTTTCCCAGTCGTTTTCTTTGTTTTTTTATCGAAAAATTTAGGAACCGACCGCAGTATTCGATCCCGGGCTGGGGGGGGGGGGCAAAATTTGTAACACTCTAAATCTCATGGTTTCATTTATCGAGCGAGAGTCCCGCACGAGACGATTGATCTACCTGGGCAGGTTTTCTCCTGAAGTGAGGTTTTTCCTTGTTCGCCGGCGGTGGGGGAGTCGGAAGGGAACAAATCGTTGAGACCCAAAAGGGTATACGAGAGAAAAAAAATGATCGTAAAGTTTAGGAAATTTTGTCACTAAAAGATATTTCTACTTTTGGTACTCTCACTAACTCAGAGGTGAAATGCCAAAATTTAGTCCTCCCAAAAAATTAGTTGGCAAAAATATCTCGGAATCTACAGAGGATAGAGAAATTTTTGTATAGATCTTTGTTGTAGAGCAGAATGAGATCTACAAAAAGCGGTAATTTTTTCTCTATAAATTCTAATTTCCTTTGAGTTTTTGTTATACGGTGGGGGAAGGAAGGGCTTATGTACGTAGGGGTTTATACATAAAGGGAGCTTTATATACAAGGGGTTACATATATGGGGGGGATGTTATACGTGGAGGGTCATATTTGAGGAGGTTATTTTATACATGGGGGTTTATATCTGAGGGGGGAGGATTACACATGGGTGGTTTTATGTTTGGGGGTTAGATACATGTGAAATTTTACGTAGGGGGGGGGGGGATTTATACATGCGGGGGAGTGTTACATATAGGAAAATAGGTTTCATACAGGAGCACAAATTACACATGTGGGAGTCATATGCGGACCTCCTATGCCACCCCTTCTCTTTAGCTTCGGATGGCAGAGAATCGACCTTGGATCAAGTCTGGGCCGACCCAGAACCAATCTTGAGCCGACATTTCGCCGGCATTCAGCCGACACTTGACCAACATTTAACCGACGCTCGGCGATATCGAGCCGATATTCAGTTGGTATTGGGCCGATATGGAGAAGACCGAAACGCCTCTTATTTTTTATTATTACAGAGAGAAGAGAGGAGGGAGGTTGCACGTGCAGGGTTTTATATATGGCGGAAGGGGGTACATGGCAGATTAGTTACCTATCTAAGGACGGAATTTATGGGGTTGTGTATGGGTAAGTATATGGGGGACTTCGTATATACTGGGAGGTCGTATTAGAGACTCCCGATATATTAGGTTTATGACTTAATTTTTACAGATTTTTCAGTAAATTTATTTGACATAAAAAAATAGAGAACAACGAACTTAATCTTGGAAATATTGTCCATCATTTTCTATGACCTTGCGCCATCTCTCAGGTAACATTCGAATGCCGTCGCGAAAGAAACTTGCAGGCTTCGAGGCGATAAAGTCATCGACGAATTTACGCATATCGTCCAGCGTTTTAAACTGTTTATCTACTAAGGCGTGCTGCATGGACCGGAACAAGTGATAGTCGGATGGGGCCAATTCGGGTGAATATGCCGCGTGCGGGAGAACTTCCCATCCCAAGTTCAAGAGGGTCTTCTGAGTCGCGCGAGCAACGTGAGGTCGAGCATTGTCATGCAGCAGTATGACTTGCCTGCTTCCTTGCCCAGTAAATGGCCTTTTCCGATCAAGTTCTTCGCTCAATTTGTTCAGCTATCGGCGGTAGCGTTCCGCAGTTACCGCCTGACCTGTTTCCAGGAATCCATAATAAAGGAGAATCTTCTTTAAGTGGATGTTCTGTTTCGGCGTCGATGTAATGGATTGTCCGGGATCTACCCACGACTTTTTACGTTTGGGATTCTTGTGAAAAATATACTTTTCATCACCCGTCACAATTTTCCACAAGAAGTCCTTTTTTTGTTGCCCGGCAAGCAGTGAAAGGCACGTGTTCATACATTGACCTAGGTTTCTTTCGGTCAACACATGTGGGACCCACCTTCCAAGTTTTTGGATTTTTTCCATTTGACGTAAACGCTTAGAAATAGCTGTTCGGGTGACTTCTAACTGACCTGCAAGCTCTGGTTGCGTTTGCGTTGAGTCTTCATCCAGTAGAGCTTGCAATTCCGCATCTGTAAACTTTCGAGGCTGTCCAGGACGCGGCTGGTCACTCAGATCGAAATCACCACTTCTAAAACGTTTGTACCAATAATGACACGTTTCATAAGATACATCGTCGGCACCAAGAACACTACACATTGATTCCATTGCTTCAGAAGCATTTTTTCCTTGTTGGAATTCGTATAAAATGCAGTGCCGAATGTGCTGTTGATCAGTTGCCATTGTAAACTCTGCTATTGTGAAAGGTTATGTAACTTACATAGATTTGTCATTTCGTGTTCTGAAACCTTTTGTCCGATCCTTTCAAAACCAGAAAAGACCGCGAATATATTTCTATTTTAAATATACTTTTAAGCTCGAAGAAAAAATCTGTAAAAATTAAGTCACACACTTAATATAATCTCCCTTTTCAACATAAACCCGTCTTAGATGAAACCTCCCATATTTGACACTCTCATCCCCCCCCCGCCCACACAGAAATCCCCGTCCATGAATAAACCGTCCTTTTACAATTTTCCGTCTATCTACAAAATCCCCTTTTTACAAACTCTTCCTCCCCATACATAAAAAACGCTCCTTTACAAGATCCCTCACATACGAATCGCCCCATAGACCCCCATAAAAAACCCCCTTCCCATTAATGAAACCCCCTTTTACGAAACCTCCCTCTAACAAAATCCTATATGTAAAACCCTCTTACATACCACGCACTCATACGTAAGACTTCCTTTTATAAAATCTCTTCCTCATCGGTGGACCTCGACTTTATCGACCCCCCTCCCATACGTAACCTATATCCGTATACAACCCCTTCTCTCTCATGTATAACCCCCCATAAAAAAAATTAATTTCTTCTGAAATTTAGAAAATTTTGGTTTAGAATTAATCGGAATTTTGGTAATTAACTTCTGCACGATTTTTTCCTACAACTTAGAAAATAATTTCTGGATTCTAGAAAAATAAAGTTTAGAAGTCATGGTTTCTAGAATCAAGACACTTTTTATGTAAACGCTAGAAGCTTTTTTTCTTTGTGCACACGCCCGCGAAACCTTAATCGTATCAGAGATATGGTAAATATTGGTGACAATTTGAAATTTTTTACAAGTATTGAGAAATTGAATAAACAAACAGAGCCTGATACACAGACTCTTATAGAAAAATTTCAAGATATGGAGAATAAAGTGTTGAATCGGATGGTGGCCAAAAACAATAGGGTAACGGCGTGAATAAGTCGGATATTCCAACCCCCCGCGTCGCGCGTAGCGCGGCACAAAACATTTTCCGTATTTATTTTCTCGATATATACACCCAGAACAAAAATCATCATTTTGAGATTTCAAAGATTTTAAATTGAGAATTTTGAAAGGATTAAATAGAGATTTTTAAGTCTCAAATTGAGACAGAAAAAACTCCAATTGATCCTTCTGAAAGTCTCGATTTGAGTGTAGTTTTTTGGGTATTTTTGGGGTGAAGTTCCGGTTGCTGGTTCGAAATTTTTTTGGATAGATTTATATATTTTTCCCCGCTGGTAAACGGAAAGACGAATTTTTTCTTCATTCTATTATGACATACGATTTACACTCTTAACTATCCGTTGACCCACCTAAGTCTCGAATCTCGAATCAATTGTTTCAGAACACCCTGTACATGAAAATTTAAGTAACAGAGTGAAGTATGTCGAAGTCTAAGGTTGGCCACAAAAGCAAAATAAATGATTACTAAATTAACACTCTAAGGTGGATTCCATATGTGTTATAACGTATTTCACCTCAAATTATATGGATACAGTCGGCAATCAATTTTTTTTTACTTCAAATATCTAAGAATACTCTAGATCTATTCGGTTTTACCACTTCATACCGCATTTATCGTCTAGCTCCGATTCCTGGAGGTTGTAACATGGAATTCAGCATTGAGACATCACCATTCTTGAGGACATCTGTTGGTAATTCGATGATAATGGTAGATGCCCAGCCAGCCTCATCAATCGGACCGAATGGAAACCAACTGCCTTGTGAAAAAAATTTTGTTACTTATGAGACATATCGGCTCTACATTCCCGAACGGGATTTCACCAGTGAGACATATTTTGCTACAATGTCGAGAATGTTGACTGTGGACAACATCATTAAGTTTGGGAAAAGGGTAAGAAATGAAACTATTCCCAAATTTTCATTTCTCAATTCAGTAAATTCTCTGGAAATTTCCATCGGTTTTTCATTTTCCCTTCTTTTTGCTTTCGAATGGGAGTATTTGACCGATTTTTCGATTTTATCATTTTAATTACAAATGGTCTAGAATGTTATGAAACGTAACGAAATGAAGTATTTAGGGTCATGTCCGTGTGTATGTATGTGACAACTTGGGTGTTTGGTGATTAATTTTTAGAAAATTCAATATAAATATGGTGAAATTCGTAGATCAAATAGATTCAAATAGCAAAACATATTTTCACAAAAAGTTGAATATCTCCTAACCGAGAGTTATCGTCCCTACATCAATTTTATTAAAAAAATGAAAAATGCCGATTACTACCAAGTTATTACTGGTTAACCCTCCTGAACTGTCAACTACCCGAGTGGAAATTTTAGTCAGGTCTTGATCAGACACTGATCAAGTTATCATATCAGATTCTGATCAGGTATGTAACGCTATAATTTTGGATTTTCCACTAGGGTGGCTCGGTTAGCATGGAGCCGCCCGTCTTATGTTACCACTTGTGAAAAAAAAGTTTGAAATAAAAATGAATAATTTTGGGTTTAGAGGAAGGTTTTAATTTCTAATGGATAGGAAATGGTAATAGAACTCGGAAAAAAGTCGCAATTTAATGCAAAATGTTGATTTGATTTCGAGCCGAAATGGGTTTTTTAGATTCGAATTTGCAAACTTTTTTGGTACTCAATCGATGCAAGTATGAATCCAATAAAAATTGCCAATAAATTCTATATACTCAAAAGTAGGGGAGACCGGGGCAAAGTGGAACGGTGGGGCAAAGTGGAACGGCGGGGCAAAGTGGAACGCGGGGCAAAGTGAAACGGTAGCAAAAACGACTTTAGAGCGAATTTTGGGCAACTTTTTTTTTAACTTTATTAGTCGAAAAAAGATGAAAGGTCAAACGTTTCTGAGGGTCAAACAGTGGTGTATATCCCCTTAGGCCAGGGTGAAACTTCGAACCCAGGTGGAATTTGGAAGTTCTCGGTTGATAAGGATAGTCGTTGAGCGAGTCTGTATAGACTAAGGGATACCTAAAAAGTAACGAAAATTTTGGGCACAACTCATTTTTCCCCCATACGTCGAGGTAGAACATAGTTTTCCAGGTATGTGGCTTCAAAATGCTCCTCGTACCATAATTGTCATTCGAGTTACAAAAAAGGTTATTACAAAAATTTCGCTATTTCCCTTACATTCTGCAAAATTTCTCAAAAACTCAGGTGAAGGAGTAGGCAACTTAAGGATGTCCAAGTGCTTCGGCTATTTTTTACTCAATGAAATGCTTTTCTACTTTTGTCGTCGAATATCAGAGCTTTCATTTTAGCTCCATTTGACCCTAAGTTTCCAGACATTTTGCAATGATATTATTATTTAAAATGTGAAGGTCTGAATTTGAATCTCGATATTGAACTGTCAGAAAATATTTTCAAAATGTGAAAAAAATTAGAAAGAGTAATTTTTGGAGGAATTCATAAAACAATTGAAAAATTGAAATTTTTGAAAATTACGAGCATTTTTTAAAAATAATTTATGAACAATCAATTTTCCACGATAAAAATCATTTGTTCGGAAAGGCAAAAAATTTATTCATATTCAGAATTTTACCAGAAATCGATTCCATGCCTAAAAAAATAAGGTATCTAAAAGTTTCAACAATTTCAATTAATTATTTATAAGAAGGGAACCGACTGTAATGGCTAGGTGGGTGAGGTGTTGCTCCAGCGGACATCCAAGCTAAGCAGCGTTGAGCTGGGTTAGTACTTGGATGGGTGGACCGTTTAGGAACACCTCGCTCGCACAAAAATTGCGGGTGGTAGGTACGGCGTAGCGGCCTAGTGTCTCCATCTAGTCAGTGTGACAGATGGATATATTAGGGCACTGCACAAATCGGCCGGCTGTGCGACTAGGATTTTACATGGTTTCCCGTGCAGTCCTAGCTCGAATGGAGCACAGCTAAG